ACACTCATCGCCGTCAGATTGGGGATCTTTATTTCCCTCACGAATGCAAAGGTTAATAAACAGTACGAAATGATGATTTCTACATATTAGATTCGATAGGTTAGTACATACTCCGGTCGCTCTTCTGTGTGACATTCTCTCGGCTCGAGCATCGTCACGTGCTCTCTGGCGATATTCTGTATCTGAGGTCGTGTCGCTGTATATCAGCTTAATATCAATATATATATCGCCAGACCAGTGATATTATGCACATTATCGGCGGTAAAATCGGGAACGAACCACCAGAGTAACAGCGATAGAAAGCTTGATTCTTCCGAACATATTTCATTTATCATTTTGTGTCGGCCTGATCAAATGAAAGACACTTGTGGAGCTCAGTACGCTGATCTTGCTGGATATGTGCCCGGAAGAACGGCGGTTATGATTAATTGGAAATTTGCGAGTATAATTAAGCAAATCCCGCGCGGCGGGACTTCTCTCTGTATGGACTAATGGAATTTGCTGCATTGGCTTTCTAATAACGGCCCGGGTTCGATTCCTGCGGGATACATTCAGATGATCCTTCATCAGAAAGACGGCGCTTCATCAGAAACACGGATCAAAACCCGCTTGATTTTTCCGGGTGATTTCGTGTTTTCTACGGTTGATTTTTACCTCTTGGCCACTTCGTGATTATAATGAACCCCCTTTCCTGTAGTCACTTGCGCATGCCGACCCAAGGCAGCATCCGGCGATATTCGGACGTGTGCCACAGGCGACGAGGTCGTGCACTGACGCGTCTCGCGTCTCGCGTCGGGCAAATGCGACATGACCGCACTGGCAGAAACATGACGGCTACGTTTGAAGTCAACAAATACATCTTATCCACGAGTTATCACAAAACCACCTGGCATCTTTCGAGTAATAATTGAGTAGCTGTAACCGTCGCGGCAACCGACTGGTCGTACTTTGCGAGGCTACTTCTGCTGATGAGTTCGTGGCGTTCGGTGATGACATCGAGGGAGGAGCATTCGATCTAGCACCGATTATCAGCAGCTGGCGCAAGGTGGTGGCTCGCAACTCACCGTGCTCGTGGCCTAAATGATATCCCCTGATACTAGCCGCGAACAGCACCCCGGCCGGACTCGTGGGAACGGTCGAACCAGGTGCTGTGTTTCACTGCCTCTCCGTGTGAGCATGATTTCTGATGACAGAGGTGGTACAGACTTGCCGTCAATGTACTCTGGTATCAGCGAAGCCCAACCAAAGGTGTAGCGGGCTCAGCTCGACCCCACAAGCACGAGGGCCCGGGATCACCCCGTATCGCTGGAATTGGATGATGGTATTATCTGCCAATGCATAGCTGTTTCGTCTTTGCTGTTCAGGTAACAGATAAATCGTCAAACATGTTAGGACAAAGTCCCGTTGAAGAGAGAATCGTGGTGTTTTGTCCCGGGTAGACTAGGAACTGACCTGAAACGACTGCTCTCGTGGCGAGAGATTTGGGTAGATCGAGCGCCGCGGTCTGCCTCATCACTTGCTCAGCTGCAATCAGGGCTCGACGGAGCTATCCTCAGAGAAGCCGTGGTATTTCTCGGTGGTCGTCGATGCTACGCTTCCCTTTCTTGTCATCGGTGCTGCGATCACTCAGTCGGCCTAGCATGGGACTGGATCATGCCTGTCGGAATACGGAAGGTTTCTAATGCAGTGACAGTCAATCTTTAGCCGGACAGTGTGAGCCTGGAAGAGGTGAGAGCATGTTGGAACTTAATCATATGGCTAACCGGAGGGCATCAAGTCTTTCTGAATTGGGCCTGCTAATAAGCCAGGCGGAGTAGCCGTGTAAACCACGTCTTCAGAAACAACAAAAGCGCAAGCGTAGTGACCAGTGGCTTGGCCCATCAAGTTGATGCCGCTGGTTCAGTTTCGAGGACGAGGGGGAAACATAGCTCGGCCCGGCTGAGTGTAATATTGAAGCTCACCCTATGACGAAAAAGAATCATCAACGATCTTTGCTGAGGAACAGAGAGCCACGAACGGATAGCAATCGTGCGGAGATTGAAATGCAGTACCGGGCTTTAGGAATGGGCAGGGGCAAAGCACTAGCGTGACTTACAAGACATTGAGCGACTCGCGATAGAAAATTTGCCATCCTATATAGAGGGTCGTCAGCACATGATATCTGCCTTGAAACTGCGGCAAATTTTAAAACTCACGTTCGAAGTCTTTGCTGTCCGCTGCAGGGGAATTTATAAAGGGTTGCATCTATTTATCGTCAACCATTAGCAGGTAGCTTACGAAGGCAACTTGTAACTCACCGTGCTCGCAGTTTGGACCACTCCAGATCCTGAAAGGCTCGTTCCACGGGTTCTTCGAGGAATAGCAGAGGTGGGACTGATATCGAGCATCTTCCGAGTTAGCATAACTCTAATTGACTGGGCAGCTACACTTACTGTTCGACGACTTTATTATCGAGAAATGTTAGGCTATTGCGACATGAAAGGTCAGTCGATTCCATGACATGGTTTGGAAGTCAATCCATACCAAAGAGAAGCTGCGAAGAGGAATCACGTTCGGTATTCTTTCGCCCAGAATCACAAATGAATATTTGCGAACGACTATTCTGCTGGCGAGGGACCGGGTATTTATAGAAATTCGGCTAGGCATTTAGTCTGCGTCAATGAGATAATCATTGTGAATTGTGAGGGCTCAAGCTCAAACTACTCTTCAATGATAAGTGGCTCAACATTTCATCACTGGTTCAGAGCGGCTCTCAGAGGCACTGAATTTTGCGCCTGGTGTTCCGAAACATGAGAAAAGTTTTCTGGCTGTTTGCATCGTGTAACCAGTCGTGAGAATGCCACAGAAAAGAATTGATGACAGTTATCAACATTCACCACCGTCATTAGGGGTTTATTGCGACGGGCGAGGTGTCGAGGTCATCTCATTTCGCTTCACTCACCGACGATGAGCCTGTTAGTCCCCGCAACAGCAAATCACCACAGGCAGGCAGAACGCAGGGTTATTCGTTGCCTGCTTCACATATCGCAGAAAAATTATAACAAAATATCAAGTAGATACAAGCTATGGTACGGTGCGGAACTGATTCGCACAGCCTCATCTCACAACAGAGTTTCTTGTACAGCGAGCCAGTCATCAGTTTGATTACGTTCTTGAAGAACAAACCTCTGCGGTCAGCCGCGTCGCGTCTTTGCAAAGACATTACCCACATCAGTCTCCTGGGAACGAAGTAGATGCGGGAGGGTACTACTACTCGGAAATACAAGCCAATCATTGCCATCAATGGCCCACATGCTCACAAGCCGTCTTAATTATTGGTTTATAATTGGCCTTGGCTCCCAGGAGTCTGGGGGTCGTAGATATTGATGCGATCATTGGTTACCACTGATAGAGTGAAAATACGTAGGAACAGTGAGCCAATCGGTGCAATGAGTTTCCACTGTGCCACAATGCCCCAATAGAAGTGATTGGTCTTAATTTAGCTCTGAGCTCCTGCTCGAATGCACTAAGACCTTATAGTCTGCCACATGAAAAGACTGCTCGGATAAGCAATTTGACTTAATAGAATAGGCTTCTGCTTTAGAGGTATCGATCGTGTTAGTAGTTCTTGAGGGAAATATGAAGCGATATATACAACATGGAGCCTAGCTGATTGTAAAACAAATTGTCTGTATAGACATCTTGGAGCTAACTCCGATGGTGCGGCTTGCTTCCTGACTTGTACAGCCTCATTTCACAAAATATTCCCTTGTTCTCCCGCTTGGTCTTACTGTACCAATCTCCTTTCCTTACGCTTCTAGAAATTTTGTGGATTGACAGATGGCTTCAGCACAATAGCTATAGAATTCCTGCTGTGCTCGACCGTGACATTGTAATTATCAGAAGTTATAACAATCCCCTGTATCGACCTAAACACAGGGAATGCAGCTAAGCGGGCTGGCATTGTAGGATCTCAGCTCTCTACGTATTGTCTTTCTTTGAGCCCCTCAAACTACGGTGATATACAATTATTTTATTGGTGACCTCACGCAGTCAAGAGGAGCAAGAAGAGTGTAGTTTGGCCGTAACGGGTCACCTGTTGCTGCGGTCGTAGACCGTAGCGTCAGATAGGGCCCGTCCGCGCTCCCCTGGAGGGAGGCAATGTGTTTGTATTGTAGTGGATTCTATATACAGAGGGAAGGCGGGAGGGACAAAATCAAGACTTGACTGCGTGAGAGATGATGAGCTACCCGCAGAGGCAAGAAACTGACTCTCGTGAAGCAGTTGTGGGAGGAAGAGGCCCTCAGTAATGTCGGTGTAGATATCACGTGAGGCTACAGGCATTGTGAGGCAACCCCAATAAAACCACTCCCTTTATAAGCGATCTTGCCCGTGTGGGATATAGCCATATCGACAAGTTTGATTTTTTGGATAACTACCAACACGCACGGCTAGAAGCCTTTCAACCGAATACTATTCAAAACAGCTTTATAGCTACTGGTATAAATCCAGTAGATGCAGAAAGGGTCCTTTCGAAGCTGAATATCTTTCTACGAACATCTTCACCATCAAACAGCCGACCAAGCAGCAGATCTAGCCAATCCACACCAAAAACGCCTAGGACAGTGGCTCAATTGCATAAGCAAGCATCCTCGCTTAAGCAATTACTAAAGCAACGGTCAAACAGCCCTCCAACACCATCAAAGATCTTACTAGATCAGATTATCAAGGGCCATATGATAGCGCTACACCATACTGCATTACTTGCGCAAGACAATGCGAATTTACGTATAGCGAATGAGAAGAAGCGCAGGAAACGCAATCGGTCGAAGAGGCATATACCCTGCGAAGAGGGTTTGACCGTCGAAGAGGGCCTACAGCTAGTTGAACAGCTAAACCAGCTAGTAGAAGGTGATAGGGTAGTATCGTACGAGCAGCTATATCATCGGAATTTCCCGCCCGTTTTGCCGGGACTTTGTCAAACAAGGAGCTGAAAATATTTCCTTCGGCGCCGACGGGATTCATATTGCTGGGAACGACTGGACAGAATTTTCAGTTGGCTTTCCTTGCTGGGGAGTGTTCTGGAACGTAAAGTGGACAACAATTCAAGTCTGCATAACTTACAACCGGGATTAATTCCAACCACACGCACATAGAATCGATTGTACTTTGCCGCCAACAACTTGACAAGATGATCAGTAGCAGCCTTGCTTGTGGCATAGCTTGTGAGATCCACATTAGTGGAATTGTGCATGCTTGCACACGAGCTGGTTACCACAATGACTCCTCGCCCCTCATCTCGCCCCGTTGTTCCAGTGCTGGTCAGTTGATTCGCCGCAGCCGCGAGGAGAGGAAGAAAGGCTACGCTGCGGAAATAATGGGCAGTAGTATTAACTCAGAATGTATCTTCCCAGTCCTTGCTTTCAATTGACCACATTGACTGCTGAAGTTCTTGTACGGATGCTGTGAGCACGTTGCATGCTAAAGGGGGGGTCTCGTCTGATACCGGCATTCGAGATGAGGATGTCCAAAGCCGTTTCCTTTTCAGATATCTTTTGAGCAAGTTGTGATATCGCATCTTTAGATGATACATCACACGCATAACTAAGAGCAATAGGAAACGTGAACCCTAATCCCCTTCCTTGGTCCCCCGGGAGTATATCCACTCCTCCATTCGGTCTTCCCCTCCCATCTGAGGGCATCGAATGGCCCCCAAGGACTGCCCCCGTGGAGTCATGATTTCCTCTTTGGATCTCTTGCTTCCTCATACTCGGAGTGGTTAGCAGAGCATCACCATCCTCCAGGCCCTATTGCAGAACACAGAACAGAGGAACGGAACCGAGCGTGGGACAAAAGTACGAAAAGTAGAATGACGACCGAGTGGAGTCCAATCTCGGGCGAGGGGAATCCGGGGCGATGTAGTTGGGAGTAGCAGTAGCAGTACGAAGTACTGCTGAGTGCTGACTTATAGCACTGCTCTAGTAGTGACTGGTGATAGGGTAGTATCGTACGAGCAGGGTGAATTATCTTCTCAGGCAGATCCACCACGCACTAGGGCTCTGCCTAGGTGTAGTGGGTGCAGGAAGACTGGACACAAGATTAATACATGTAAAGATCGTTATATTTAGCTGAATTGATACGTGTTGGTTGAGATAATCGATTTTGAATTTTTCTAATAGGGTAGGTGTTTCACTCGGGCGGGAATTACGTTACGAAAAATACGATTACTAATAAAGTGCCAAGCATTCTGAGTATTGTAACCATTCGTAATGGCACACCAGCTCTCGATATTTAGTGGATTCCAAAAAGCTTCCAGGGCTTAGTAATTTTTGTTTCAATGAAAGCGGAGGATTGTCCGCTCACTTCACCGCTTATAGGGAGGACCAACCACCGTCGCTGACCGAGCGGCGATGAACCCTCAGCGGTTAATTCAACCAAAAAGATAATCGAACAGGATAAGGGACAGCGTATCACGTTTCGTACATTATTTACTCTCGGGAATACCTGCCTGCTAAAAGCAACTCCTTTGCCGTGTTTCAGCCTAGTTGTCAGTGCTTTCCCAAGACAAATTCATTTCCAGCCCCGCTTTTACCATCGCGATAAACTTCTAACCCTTACATAAATTTACGCCGATTCCTTTTTGCCCTTGTTATCATCAACGATCTCTCTAATCATTTCCCCGTGACGATGGACCATGGCAACACTCTCAATTCAACCCCAAATCAACGAAAACGAAACATCTGCCTAATTGGCAGCGGTGGTGTTGGCACAATTGCAAGTCTCGTGCTTGAGAAATCCGGACGCGCAGAGGTTACTGCTGTGCTGCGGAGTAAATTTGCGGTGATTAGGGAAAGAGGTTGGGATATTGAGTCTGTTGATCATGGATGTTTGAAGGGTTGGAGGCCCACAAGAGGTTGGTTCTTTTCACTTGGAATTCTTCTCCTGTTGGTGTCAATTATTTATCCCTCTTCTATCCTTTAAAGAGGCTTGTCAATACCTAGGATCTTCGTGGTCCAGGATGGTCAAGCAATATTTATTCGAAAAGATACAGGTTTGAACACTTGATTTGAGCGTCTGCCATATGAAACTGCTCAATTGCTGACTGATCCCGGGAATAGTCGTTTCGAACATTGTGGATGCTGTCGTGCCCAATGAACCATTTGACTTCATCGTCATCACTACAAAGCAGCTCCCAGAAGCTTACTCCGTCGCCGAGCTAGTCAAGCCTGCTGTTTCCCCAGGACACACCTCTATCGTGCTCATTCAGAATGGCCTTGATATCGAGGTTCCAATAATTGCAGCCTTTCCAAACAACACTGTCATATCCGGCATCAGCATGATTGGCTCACGGGTAAATGGTGAAAACTGCATCATTCATGACGGACCAGACGACCTGGTAATTGGAACACACTTCCATGATGGAAAGGACAGAACTGTGCAGCACCAGCAAACCCGTGAGTTTGTGAATATATATGCAGCTGGTACTGTGGGACCAGGAGCAATAAGTGGCAAATGTACATTTACGGATAATATGCTGGTTGCACGTTGGCAGAAGCTACTGTGGAACAGTACTTTTAACACACTCTGCACACTTCTGAGGATGGATGTTGGAGAGCTGCAGTCCTCAGGTGGGAGGGAGACCCTGTTGATACCTGCCATGTGGGAAGTCTACGCAATTGCTAAAGCTGTGGGACATGCTCCTGCTAAGGAAATGATACATCATTATGCCTATCGGTCATCCAATGACTGCCGATACCGGCCGAGTATGCTCCTAGATTTGGAGAACAACAGGCCTATGGAGCTTGAAGTTTTGTTGGGTAATCCGTTGAGAAAGGCAAAGCAGAATGGTGTTTCGACACCGATATTGAGCACAGTATACGAACTCTTAAAGGTAGAAAAGTGGAGAATTGATCATGAAAAGGGGACAAATATTCTTGATACTCAAAAGTTCTCGTGATCTATATCCCAACGAAGGAGAAGGAAATGCAAGCTCTCGTCAAAATATGTTCGCTAATTATCTTTTTGCGTTCCTAATTAGCAATGAAATAACCTCCAATTAAAAGTCACCTTAGGCGGCATACAAAGATGCCTTAAACCTAAGGCTGACCCACACCCAGAGGGTCAGCCCGGAGTCAAACGCCATTCTGTAGTCAACACCACTTTTTCATATTTTTGCCATTACCACCACCACCACCACAATGCCTAGTGACTATCAGACCATTGAAGCATGTATTAAGATTGCTTGTTCAGCGGCCAGGGCTGTCAAAAAGCCTAATATTGCTGCGTTGGCACGCAAATATGATATTCCCCTTGATTGGCTTTGCCGATGTTTCAGGGGTCCGCCATCTTGCATCACATGCCAAATGGCCTACAAGTGTCTAGATGACGATCAAGAAGCTTTATTAATAGGCTCGATACAATGTCTTGATAGCCTAGATATTCCACCAACAGCAGGAATGGTGGTTGATAGTGCAAATGCAATACTGCATTGCCAAAACCCTGCCGCATCTTCACTTGGAAAAAGCTGGGTGTATAAATTTATCAACAAATGTCTTCCAAAAGATCTCAATTGGGTTCATGAAAAGCCTGCAGATCAAATTTGTATTACTGCAGAGGATATTGGTCTTTTGACTGTCTGGTATAAGTGATTGGAGCTTTTTTAAAGAAGATTCCACCAAAGTATATATACAATTTTGATTAAACTGGCTTTTTACTTGGCCAGGGTTGACCTCAAAATATGATTACTGGCAATTTTTATCAAACTTAAACTACTTTATTTGAACAAGGTCAATTGTTGACTGGAATTGAATATATTGCTGCTGATGAATGGAAAATGGAACCATACTTTGTTGCACCAGGGAAGGTTTATATAATGTCCTGGTATAAAGGTGGAAATCTGTCAGAGGAGACAAGAATAGCAGTTTTAGACACTGGCTATTCCAATAATCTTCTGGCTATTGACTGGCTGCACTTTTTCCATCTTTATACTAAGGAACACCTGCCAAAAAAAGGATTCAGCCCAGGCTTCTTATCATGGATAGCCACTACAGACACTACAACCACCTTATCTACAAATTTCTTGACCTTTTAACTCCTACAATATTATTCCATATTGCTGTTCTTTATATACAATCTACCTTTTTTAGCCACTTGATGGATCTTCATTCTGTACATTGAAACAGGCCTATTGAACCAAGAACAATCAGATTACTCAATGGGATGGAGATGCTCAAGATACTGCAGTTTTTTTTTCCAAGAGATTGCTCAAATTTAAGAGTCGCTCTATATAAACAAACTATTCACAATTTCTTCAAAGATTGTGATATATTGCCCTATAATCCAGGGTTAATTATTGATTATTCGGTTGCTGAATCTACACCTGAGCCTAAATTGAGAATATTTACTGGCTCTTTACCACCACCTAATATATCCTGTATTCCAAGCAGTCCTCCAGATACCTACAGTTTACATTGAACACATAATAAATTGATCAATTTGACCAATGATAGCAGCAAGAATATACATTATCAAATTCTTTATATTGGCCAATCACACAAGTTCAACTGGCCAAGGATATTGGTTTATTAACTGATACTTTGGCGAACCAATTGCCGAAAAAATCTACAATTGCACACAAATCTCAAGAGCAATTGGGCAAATTCAGTGCCCTGACTACCAGAGATGCTATTCGCCATGCCAAAAATCAAAATATTGAAGATGAAAGAAAGGAGGCCAACACACATATCCACCAGATGACACCTTTAGGTGCATCTAATACAATGCCTACGCCACATGGACCATTAAATATTGTTCCATACTATCTGCCACCCCATACTATCTGCCACCATTATCTGATGATAACTGGCCACCAGATAGGCACTATTAGATGTTATTGTTGTTGTAATAATAAAAATGAAAAAAAAGTGGCGTTGACTACGGAATGGCGTTGACTCCGGGCTGACCCTCTGGGTGTGGGTCAGCCTTAGGCTTAAGGCATCTCCGTATGTTAACTAACTACCGCCTAAGGTGACTTTTAGTCCTAAAGTCCTAGATTTATTACTGTACACGGTCTACGTAGGCCAAGTGAAACGAGACAGAAATATCAAGCAATACTGCGCTTAGTCTAACAACTGAGAGTACAAGTACTTGGAAAATTCAAGGTACTCGAAGCCTGAGTAAGCCAAAGTAACTTCTTAGCTCTTGTTGAAGAGCGTCGTTTCTTAGCTAAAACCACCATTCCATCTGCGAAGCTCAAAACGCCTCTGCAGTCAAGGCTAACTAAAATCTCAGGATACAGAAACGAACTATAGCATCGACAGGCATTGTCACGTTATAAAGGTTAAGTGTCATTCCCTATAAGTCGACTTGGTCCTGAGGCCAAGAATCCATCTCAAGTGAAGTATCGAAATCTCGGAGATGCTTCTCCATCGGGCAGATCGGATGTATCGACATCTAAGGCACATAGTTTCACACCCTGTGCCTTGTTTCTCCTATCATTCTCCCACTTCATCCAGCACCCTAATATCAACACACAGACCATAGCAATGCCGTTACAGATGCAAGTCGTGATAAGCGTGGGTATGTATTTCGGCGCATATTCGACGCGGAAAGTGGCCGCCGAGAGAATGCCCGCAAAGTTGCCTAAGCCCACCAGGAGACCAGTCGTTGCGGCACGGCTATTCTCATTCAGATTGTTGTTGTTGTGCCAAGACTGGACAAGACATGAAGGAATGTAAGAGCCGGCAGCCATAAGAAAACATGCGAAGTACGCGATTGCCTTGTGGTTCAAAACATCGATAGTAATGAGAATTAACATTCCCACAAGAGAGGTGGCAAGCGCAGCAAAGACATGGAAAGTGCGTTCGTGACAATAATCCGATGACTTCGCAACAACGAGGAGAACCAAAAATCCGACGGCATTAGGGGCGACAGTCCATAAATTAGTCTTGACGACACTATACCCGAGACGTTGCACGATCTGCGGAAGAAAGTTCGAAGTTGTTGCGAAGGCGACGGGATAGGTAAAGCAAAGTAAACACCACAGAGCAAACTTCCAATCCTTCCAGATCATGAAACATTCCTTCATACTAAAAGCTACATCAACGTTGTTAGAGCCATCACGCAGGGCACGGGCCACAGCGGCTGCTTTCTCTCTGTCATTCAGAAACCACGCCGAAGCAGGAGAGGCAGGCAGCCACCAGAAAGAGAAAACGCCAACAATGACAGTCAAGATGCCTTCGATCATCATAAGCCACTGCCAGCCCGCGATGTGTGGGTCCTGGATTCTGAAAACGCCGTAGGAGATGAGCCCGCTGAAAGCTGCCGCTAGCAAAGCGGAACCAAAAAAGATCGCGAGACGAAACCCGAGCTCCGAGCGTTTATAGAACAGGGTGAAGTAGAATACTACACCAGCATAAAAGCCGGCCTCGCAGGCACCCAAAATCAAACGCATGACTAACAGGCCTGCAAAGTTCTTAGCAGCACACTGAAGAGTGGCGATTGAACCCCAGGTGACCATCAGACTGGGCAAAATCCATTTTGCAGAGAATTTCTTTGTGAGCAAGTTGAGAGGGAGGTCGAGAGTGCCGAACGGAATATAGAAAAGCAGGATCAACAGGCTGTATTCGTTGCCAACGAAATTGAGGTCCTCTTCCAGTCCATCTGTCTTAGAGTTCCCCAAGTTTGAGCGGTCCACGGAGTTGAAGAAGTACATCAAAGAGAGGAAAGGCAGAAGAAATGTGTCGAGTTTGCGAACTGCATATTCGTTATTAGGGGGAAGACACGAAATTTCCAAGAGTAGATCTTACCGTACGATCGCTCAGCCTTTTGGTCGACAGGGACCAGAGTGCCCAGTGCGGCAGACTCAGCGTCTTGCGAGGAACATTGGAGAGTTTCCTTATCGAGCTTCTCCATAATGGGATTTGGGATTCCGGTTGCGATGAGGTGGTAATGACTTTGCAACTCTTTGGCCGTGCAATGTTACGCAGTCCTTACATTTATATATGAGCGACCCTTCGAAGATGGCATCGGTCTCATCAAACCTTTTGGGGTAATGATCATGGGGTATTGCAGTTATCAGATAGTGGCAAGGAAGGCTTTTGCGACTGTATTCTAAGTGGTTCATCCTCATTCCACAGCGGACAAAACCCCGCTGTGATCCGCTCGGGATAACTTGCCACGCCGATAGCGGCCCAAGCAATCATCAAACCCTAATTTATCATTATTTCTCTCCATTAACTGCATGCAATTCCGAGCGACAGCGAGGGGCTATTCTCTCGAGTCTACACCAGACAATGTCGAAAGTCACGGCGAGATCATCGCAGAACCGGGCGCGGTCCTTCGGAGGATGCTTGACCTGTCGATCGCGCAAGGTCAAGTGTGACGAGGCCCGTCCCCTGTGTGGCCAGTGCTCACGAGCTAGCCTTGTTTGTGGTGGTTACGCAGCTAGAATTCGCTTTATATATTATACTTTTCATTCAGACTGGACTGTTGCTGCAACTGTTGCTGCAGATGATATCGGACAATGTGGAGGCGGTCGCAGTCGTCGAGTGCTTTTCACAGGTAATTACCTATCAATCCCACGGCGTCTTCGAGTCTGATGATGAAAGACGATGGCACTGCCCTTGGGAGAAAACAAAAGAATAAGAAACCAACCATCTAATGATCCCGGCAGAAGCGGAGCGAGCGGCCATGTCCAGGGAGATACTCCACCAAGTCGATGATGACGAAATTGACAAAGTCCTGAGTGAGCTTGACTCGGAGACGCATGAATTCCAAGCGAATGGCCTCCTTGTGATGGGCCCTTTTGCACTGTTCTGGGCGAACACGGCTTTGCCTGAGGCTTCTGTCAACCATGAGCTCCCATCCGAGCCATCAGCAAGCATGGATTTCCTATATGTCGCGGGTGATCATGATGATATCTGTTTGACCCCGACTGTAGATATGGATTGTACTTCGTCCTTTGGCCAAATTCCAGGCCCTTTCAGCCTATTCGCCCCCTTCTGGTCAACGTACCCCGATATCCACATTGATGCGGATCCTAATTATAACATTTCTGAGCGTTTGGTGGCTGTCAACTGGTCGCCAATGAACAATTCTCAAATTGCCCTACCATCTCCTCTTAGCTTCCATGTCAGTCTTAATATTGAGAATGATTTGGAAGCACCAGTATCTCCAACCACGCATTTTCTTCTAAGGCACTATCGGGCTCAGGCAGGGAAGTTATTCTCGCCTCGCCGCGTGCACAAATCACCATGGGATATCATGCACCTCCCGCGTGTGCTTTCTATATTCTCAGAATTGAGTGTATTCAATAAGTCGACCCATGCTGAAACTGCACTTTTTTATGGCACACTGGCCGTAAGCGCCTTTAATTTTGATAGGCTTGGTTTGGAACAGGACGGCAGTTCAGATTATTGGTGGGTTTTTGGTGAGCGCCTGAGACACAAAGCAAAGGTGGAGCTTGGACGAAGCTTCGATACGGAAATATCTGGTGGTGGAAAATCAAAATATAAGGATATTTTGATGGCCATATTGACAATGGTTACCATTTCCGTGAGTCTTTGGTGCCACGTTGGAATCGCGTCACTAACTTGAACTGTCTGCGGAGGTTGTGAATGGTCAACAGGCCGAGGCACGTTCATTCTTACTGAACGCGGATATGTTCATTTGTCTTAGAGGAATTCCCAAAGTGAACAAGTCTCGCAAGGTAAAGCTGCTTCATCAAATATACCTCTTCCTGCGAATTATTGAAGAGAGCACATACGTTTTCCCACAAGAGACACAACAACGCTTGAGTTTCTCACTTCCTCACAACAAGATGAAGTTCCCTTCTCTAAGGACACACAGTCTTCATGTTGGCAGAGATCTCGATGAACACTGCGGCGGGGATTTGGAACTTGGGCTATTTGGTGCGCCTGGAGATGAGGATTGTCAGCAGAATTTTACACTATTCGGGCAAATTTATGGAATTCCTGAAACGCTACTTTCCTTTATCTCGCGCATTTCATCTCTTGCCGATGAAATTGGGAACTTAAATAATCAGAGTAAAGGGCTTACCATGACTGATGAGCTTGAGAGGCGTTGTCGAAATCTCGAAAATGAAATCTGCTCTTGGAGCAGCGACAGAGACAGCGTTGGTGACAATATCGACGACCCTATCTTGATGTCTGCAAACCGTGCTTTTATACCGCACCTGGTTGTAGCTCTTCACAGCGCCGTTATAATATTTTTCTACCGGCGAGTGCGCAAGCTTAACTCCGTTCTGCTTCAATCGTACGCCGAGAAGGCCATTGTCGCCATTGAACGCACTGAAAAGGTGAAGCTTGGCTTCTCTGTTGTCAACACCGGCATTGTGTGGCCGGTTTTCATCGCTGCTGCCGAAACAATGAATCCAGACCTACAAGTGCGCTCTTCTAAACTATTACGGGATTGTGCCAAAACGAGCGGCTTGCGGAATTTTGATGTTGCGGAAGGCCTTTTGCAGGATCTCTGGAAACGTCGGAGGGGGCATGGGAACGCGGAAATTAGTTGGGTAGATTTGGTTATCGAACGGAAGTTGACGTTGGTTTTGACCTGACGTGAGATTGAATTTGGAAGATTCGGGTTTCATCAAGTCTATGACCAGGAAACTATTTTTTATACGCCGGGTCCGCGCTTCTAGTCACTCGCCAGTTCGATTGAAAGTCACAAAATGCTACTACCATGTCATCAGATGCGATCAAGTGTTTAGAAAGTTTACATAAAGCGAACCTATAGCATATGCTAGGATATCTTCTGGATCCTAGTATCCTTTTAAGGACCTGTGGGCCCGTGGGCTGGCCGAGGTGGTGGATACTAACCCCCTTGTGCCGCTATTTAGCGAGTAGTCTGGAGATTTGAGGTTTGAAAGTTGCTCAAGAAAAGCTCTTTGCACGGGCCAGCAAATACTATTACATTGAAAAGAGAAAAATAGCCGCCAATACAGGCATTGGCGGGTCAAAGCAAGTATGTGCTTGGATTCTTATAGTTATCGTACCAGTCTGTGCCAAAAGTCTGGCACCACTCGGTAATTAGGTAATCCCCCATGTATTTCAACCAACATTTGCAATTATATATAACCACAACGAATGTTGTTCAAATTGCTTAAAGTTTTGACAAAATATAGGTTAATATACCATATATATAAATCCATTTTAATATCTAGTGTAGTAGCCCTTAGCAATACGTACAGCCTCAATCCGCTTTGGCACTGAGCGAATAAGCCCATCTATAACACTCTGATCTAAAACATCCCATGCATGCGCAATTGCACGTTTAAACTGCTTCCAATCTTCCTGAGATCTTCCCATATCACCAAGCTCTGGATATAACTCGAAAAGCTTAAGTTTTAGTAGCCTCCATACCGGTTCAATTGGGTTCAAATCAGGCGAGTGCGCGGGCCAATCCATCACGTGTATACCATGAGTTTCAAACCACTCTTGTGCATTTGCTGATTTATGAATTCGTGCGTTATCTTGCTGGAAGATAGTTTCAGGACTATAATGTTGAATAAGACCTTCTTCTAGTGCTTCTAAATATGAGTTGGTAGTAAAACTACCTCGCTCACTTTTAGAATAGTCTCGATTCATGATAACCAACTTTGTACGGCCACCAAGCCATATTCCGGCCCAAACCATTTGTGAAATATCCTTTACATGAGGAACTAAATTCACAAGATCTCGTCTATAGGCTTCTGAGTATAACCTCCAAACCCAGCGATCGCCTGAATAGGATCTTCGTTGTACAGAACATTCATCTGAAAAGATAACATTTTGAAGTTGCTCATTCATACCACAACGCTGCCAATTTAACACATATTTTTTTCGAATACGTGCAGTTTCAGGTTTAATTGGTATCTTCTTGCGAGATTTATATCTTCGAAGTGCTGTTCTTTTCAAAACTCGATATAAAGTACTCCGGGATGGGAACCCAGGACAATTAGCACGAAGCTGTCTATAGGTCCACCACGGACGCCGACGGGCTTGTCGATAGATATATCGGATAGCTGAGTCACTATATAATCGAGGCCTACCAGTCCTTTTTTGTGATAATAGCGTTTGCTGTTGTTGAAAGCGGATTCGTGTGCGGTAAATTGTAGAGCGTTGGCAGCCGAAATCAAGCGCAATCTGTGTAACCGATATACCAGCTTCTAAGGCATATAATATAGCTGCGCGCGTAGCAGGTGGTAATTCAGCGTTTTTGCCACGTTTAGCAACTGATTGTTGCGTATATAAAGCCATAGGGTGGTGGTGAAGGAAAAAAAACGCGTTGAGGGGGGGGGTAACACGAAAAAGCGCGCTAGTGAGTGGTGCCAGACTTTTGACACATATAGTACGTTATTGTTGTAGACATGTAACTAGTTAGAGCGACTGGAATTCGCCAATAAACTGACCATTTCTACAGCGCTCTCGGTACAATGATAGCAAGGGGAAATTTATAAGGTGCGCGATAGATTCATTAAGAGAGTAAAATTCATGTGTCAAATATACTTTGCCAACTACCTAGTGTAAGATGGGAATGCTCGCTGGCAGTCTGTCATGCAGACGGGTCGATCACGAAAGGACAAGACCACCACACTCGCAGAGTGCAGGAACGAGATAGGCAAAGCGTGACACTATAGAGAGATGATCGAGCGAACAATAAAACCTTTCATGAGCGGTATACCGATACCGCTCCCTCATCAGCCTCAGGAGAACGTTTTCATAAGGGGGAACATAGTCGTTGTTATTGGTACTATGGAACGAACGCTACTTAATCTCACAAACGAAATGGTGGCCTTGTTGCTAAGGCCTCAATCACATGACTCCAGGATACCGATGTTGAGAGCGGAAATCCCCATTACACTAGGTAGTAGAGATATATCGAATTTCAACCCGATTGCTTCCCAATCGTTCAATTGCGGAAATCGCCATTGCACAATACGTCCTCTGCCTCTAGGTCCGGCTGGAACTCGCAGTACAAAGACTCCGGGTTTGAAGTCATTTTGAAAGTGTACGCAGCCTCAGCCTCACCTACATACCGCTTAGGAATTCCGTTCGCAGCTGCCGCCTCTACCAGAAGCTGCACTTGACAGCTCCGCTCCATCAAGGTGAAAAGGTAAGCAGCCTCATCGACGGTCTGCCCTACAGTCAAGAGACCATGGTTTCTCAACACCATCCCCTTCCCCTCTTTCCCTAGAGAATCCGCCAACCTCCGCCCCTCGGCTTCGTCAAAGACCACGCCACCAAATTCTTCATAAACGCTCTGGGCCTGCCCATAAAACACGCAGGAATCCTGATTGATCATCTCCAATTGCCGTGCAAACGCCGACCAAGCCTTTCCGTACGGCGAGTGCGTATGGCAAGCAGCATTGACATTTGGCCGGGCCTTGTGTAGGGCGCTGTGAATAAGAAACCCAGCAGCATTTACAGGACGACTCATATTACCCCCTACCATCTTTCCGTCGTAATTGACGAGGACCATATCAGAAGCGCGCATCAAGCCAAACGGGCGGCCGAGCGGATTGGTCCAAAAGGTATGAGGGTTTTCAGGGTCACGCACAGAGATATGACCAGCCAAACCTTCGGTGTAGCCCTTGCGGGCAAACACTCGGAATGCACCAGCCATGTGCTCTAGAAGGTGGCGGCGCTGCTTCTCGTAGGTTGGCAATATAGGGATTCCGGGAAGGATTGGGCCTCGTGAGAGGGCTTGGAGTGCAGTCATCTCGCCCGTAGGTGATGTCTCAGTCTTGTCAACGGGGGATTGACTGATGGCGGACGAGGAAGTGATAACGGTAGATTGCGACGCCATTCTTGATGCGACGGTCTTTTCTTGCAATCAGATCCGTTCAGGTCGTCGTTAACGACACTAGCGTCTCGTGTGAAGCGACAAAAAGACGGTCGGATAACTTGGTCCAACCTGTGGTGACTCTAACACAACCTGTTGCTGTAATATATATTCCGACAAATTGAGGAAACCTCGAATTAAACTTATAGCCATACATCTGGGGGCGGTGACACTAGGCATTTTGAGGACGGTTTTCCCGTGGAAAGTCTCCCCGACCATAGTAATTGTAGATCCCGACCTCGGGACGAGCAGCAGATTTCGCTAAAGCTTTCCTTTCTTACCTAGATAGGCAGCAACTTGCCATCCCGCCGGTCTCCAAGTTTACAATACACATATCCGGGCAATATTAGAGGACAATATAGTCGTCCCGACTGTATTATTTTGATAATACTATATTATGCCAGCCAAATGTATTTCATCTCCAGGGCCGTATTTGCTGCTGTGAACTCCCGCTGCTGCCTGCCTGGTAGTAATAGTATGCTCTTACCTTCGAAATATATCTTTCTTCTATAGTACGTGTTAACCCCTGATTAACCTGATCTTTACAAATATCATCTTCAAGTTTTTACTTACTAACTTCAAAGATCTCTAGGTTTTGCTAATCTTTTAGATTTTACCCTGACTCGGATACGCGTTGTTTTGGTGATATGTCTGGGCCCGTTCTGAATAGTAGTAGTAGATGGTGCCTTGGATGTCAATCAACCTTACTCCTTTTATTCCGAACTTTGGCGTCTTAGTGCCAAGCGCACCCGCCGCTCTTTCGCGGTGCGCCACACCGAAATCACAAAATTGATAATTTTCTCAACTGTATAGCGGATTTGGTATAGCATTTACAATAAAAACTTCCTCACCCGATCCTGCAGCCCTTTCTGCGAAATTTAAACTCTCATTCTCTTGTGTAACCTCTGGTAGTGGCTGTTTACCATATAATTTTTCTGGCATTTTCCTTTCTGGTTGCAATTGAACGGTTGGCATCGCGTACGATTAATACACCAGAGTGGCCTAATGTTTTAACCTGCCTACAGGTGTATTTCCGCCGTAGTGGTGTTTTTGCTGCTGTCATTCGGCTAATAATATCGTTGGAGAGCGCTAGAGGTTCCGCAGCGAATCTATCACAGCGGCGATGTGGCCTTTGTATGTTGGGAGTAGGGCGTTGAATTTTTCGAAGTCAATCTGTTGGGCCCGAGCTGTGTTTAGTGCTTGAGTTGGAGGGAATAATCACGAATTTGAGGTGGCTTGGCTGGGGGCATGCTTGTTCCGTTGCTTGTTGGTTGCTTGTCTGTTATTTTATTTGTGATAAGTGTGGATGCGGGGTAGAGGGTAGTTAGGACTTAAGTAAGAGCCTCAGCTTTGGCCTGAATTCCAGGCCTGGGGGACCAGGCCAATTGCGACTGAGAGCTCAGGCTCAAGTATGTCAAACAGCATAAACATAAACTTGAGCTACGAGATAATGTCTTATACTTAAATATCCAGTATCTAAGAGCTATTTCTGTAGTTTCTCAGAGTTAAGTTCGAATTCTAGGTGTTTATTCACACCTACGGCCTGAACCACGATTACGAAAGGGTGGCTTCGATGATATTTATTGCTGAATCTGGACAGTATATTGAGTACGATGTGACATACGCCCCGCTAGGTCATCCATGGTCAGGAAGCAGTCAAATGTATCAAAAAGGGTTCGGTGATTGTGATTCATCAAGTGTCTCGCTAGCAAAAGCCCGCATTCGAATCAAACG